ATTTGCCCATTGAAATTACATCAAGTTCAGGAAATTCATCAGTACCTAAGGGTTCTAATTCGTTTGCTGAAAACCATCTATCCAAATTTCCAAACTTGATATGAGTCGCTCGTCTATCCATTTTTAGCCTACAATATCGTCTTTACGAGATCACCGGGTTTCAAATTTAACACACGTTTTTTAGTTTTATATCGTTTTTCCATTAAGATTATAAATCATTTGACGGTTCTGAATAACATGTCGATTTGCTACCGCGATTATCAACGAGTATACTTTCGTTTTTTCTATTGTTCATGTAATCATAACGAATTTTTTGAAAGCTTTGAAATGAAAGAAACGAAAAAACTAGCGAAGAATTTGAAGCCATATGGGGTCTTTGCCTTGAAAATGACCTTATGGTATCAAGTACCGTAAGGTCATTTTCAAGGCAAAGACTCCATATTATGGAAGATAAAATAACAGAATTTTTTTTTTATAATCAATCTAATTTATTAGACTCTTATATTTAACTTGAATTTAATTGACGTACGTACATACGTACGTGATATTAATCAGTATAATTTTTAAAACTACGTATGCTATATTTTAATCGGTATAAATTTTATACTCAGGTACGTTAATTTTGAATTAACGGTTAGTTAAGAGCAACGTACAACATCAATACGTACCAGCTATATGCTGCAATGTAAATTTATAAACCAAGCCTTTTTCGAATTACATAACGTCATATGACCAATTGCGTATATACAAGCAAACGGAAAATGTGTACCAGGTTGGTGCGCCATGGTGGCTTGATACTTCGGAGGTTCAATTTTTTTGATAATTACATTTTATGTTGATACGTATACATATTATGCAGGTTGACGAGGGCAACAGATCACGGTTACACGCCACGTGCTACAACCACAACCCCGATCAATTAAGGGTCAGGAGCAGTGTTAGATACCTAATGTTCTCAGTGTTCTCAAAAACATTTAAAAAAATTCGAGAACATTATATTTAAAAATTATGTTCTCTTTTGAGAACCAGCCAAGAACATAAAATTTATAATTTATGTTCTCATGCGATATATAGATAGTGATATGGGCCGATGAAAAAATCTCGGGCCGAGGCCGGCCAGGGCCGGCCCGGGCTGACACGGCTGACCTTTTATGAATGATTTTGAAAAATTCTGAAAGATACAAAACTTTCCCCACCATTTAAACATCTATTGAAAGTTATTCAAATTCGATTCGATCCCTTTTTTCTGATTCTAATAAGAGATTCGTATTCAATGTTGTCTTATTGTCTACATTCCGAAGATACCCGACCGATATTTTTTGGGTCGGCCCATATCACTAGTCACCGCCGGTGACAACTAGGTTATTTAGTAAATAACCTAGTTGTCACCGGCGGTGACAGTTCCTGGATTTATTTATAGCTGTATTTAAGGCTAGAAAGGTCATAGTATATAGTAACATTGTACAATGAATGCTTTTGTTAAGACACGTTAAGACACGGAAGTTGATTTCATAGGGATAATTTTGATCGGAAAATTTTAAAATTCTTATAACTGCCGGCGACAAATAGATTCACATAAAAAATTGTATATTCAAACATTCATATAGGATTATACATAAATTTTGATTTATATAGTACCTACTTTAATGAATTAAGCAAAGAATCTGATTGGTTTGTTTGATCAACTGGCCAATCAGAATCTTTATGAAATTCATTGATGTAGTTGCTTGAGAACGCCTAGTTGGATATTGTTTCATGGTACAAATCGAGTATAGATTAATTCATTATCATAGTTTCTAATTATATCGTGTAGTACGATACGATCAATGAATTTATGAGCATACGTATTTACCACAATTGTAACGTGCATAAAAAAATCAGTACATTAATAATTATATAATAGATTTTTATTGGTTAAAATTTTTCAAGTGATTTACATCACTTGAAGATCATATATTAAACTGTAAAAAATTGCAGTGTAACGATAACTTTATACGCGTAAAAAAATTTCACACGCATTACACGCATTAAATTTTTTTTTAAAAAATGGAAGTAGATTTCTTTAAAAAACTTTCCAATGATTACATTGAACTTCTTAATGATGAAGATTTTAATGTAAATATTAATGTCGGAGAAACGCCAAATATTAAAATTTTTCAGGCACATTCATCAGTTTTAAGACAAAGATCTTTATACTTTCGTAATGAATTGAAAAATGCTGATAAAGATCAAAATAATATTAAAATAATTCATTTAAACGATGTGCCTATCCAACAATTTTAAATTATTATGAAGTAAGCTGTTTATAAAAGATTTCCGTATTTTAATATGTAAAAAAACAATTTAACGTAAGTTATTAATCATATTAATTTAATAAAGGTATATTTACGGAGGAAAGCTTTTATTGGAAAGCATTGATGAATCATTTATTTTTGAGCTTATGCTTCTCGCTCACGTGTTTCTTCTAGAAGAATTAGTTAAATATCTTGAAACATATTTGATTAAAGAAAAAGAATATTGGCTTCGATCAAATATCGCTCGTGTTCATCAATCAAGCTTCCAAAACGATTATCTTCAAGTGTTACAAAAATAGAGCATTGATACTGTAGCAAGAGATCCTAAAAAGGTTTTTAAATCTGAATCTTTCACTTCACTTCAAGAAAAGGCTTTAGTTGCACTTATCGGTCGTGATGATTTGCAGATTGAAGAAATTAAAATTTGGAGATACGTTATCGAATGGGGAATTGCACAAATTCCTGGTTTATCGAAAGATCCTAAGAATTGGTCAAATGAAAACTTGCTAGCTTTAAAGACGACACTAAAAAATTGTTTACCTCTTATCCGCTATTTTCAAATATCAGAAGATGATGTTACTGATAGCGTACAACCATACAAACAAATTCTGGATGAAAATCTCTGGAAAGATATTATCAAGAAATTTAAGTATCCAAACGGCCGAATAACATCAAAGATTCTTCCACCTCGTATGATTTTAGCACCATTTAGGACAACAGATGAATTTTCAAAAGTTATTAATGAAGATGATGCAGCAGAAATTTCATCATGGATTGATCATAAAACTAGACCATATTCAGTAACAAATAATTCTTACAAATTTAATTTACTTCATCGTGGAAGTAAAGATGGGTTTACGGCCAAAACATTTTGGAGATTGTGTATAATATAGAAACGTCGTTGTAGTTATAAAAGTTAACGATACAGATGAAATTCTTGGAGGATATAATCCTATTGGGTGGGAAAAACCATATAGCAACATCGGTGGAGAATTTAGCTATAGTAATGATAGCTTTATTTTTTCATTAAAAAATAGCACCATTCAAAAGTCTATTTTAAGTAGAGTAGAATATCCAGGACAAGCAATTTATAACGATCGTCATTGTGGACCATGCTTTGGTGGCGATTATATAGATACTGATGATGGCACTGGATCAGGATTTGATCTCGGTATTGTTGACTCTGAAGGCGATTGTTATTGCGATCAATATGCTTATAAAAAACAAATTAAGGAAGATCCCAAAAAAAGATCATACTTAAACAGAAGGGCATTCTTTGAAATGGAAGAATATGAAATTTTTCAAATTGTAGAAAAATCTTAGCAACTTCAAATGTCGCTATTAGAATATTGGTTATTATTTTTACTGCATATAGTAATAGTATTTGATGTATCGGTAAATATTTCTATTAAACAAATCTTATCACGTGTTGCATCACTATCAATCGCGTTGGTTAATACAGTACTGTAATAACATTACCAGCAATATACTGCAATGTAAATTCATTAACCATGATAAAAATTATATAATATAGTAATTTCTATTCGAATGCTACGTACATACGTACGTACGTATGTCGTTTGGTGATTTCTAATCGGTGAATCACATGCATTATATAGATCATTGGTCATATGATTTGAAAAAGCTAATAATCATATTCATATATATTAATTACAAAATAAAGCATTTCAAATAAAAATATACATTATGAATAAAATAGAAAAAACAACAATAATTGCAGTATAATTTAAATGATAATTTAAGTGATAAACTGGGGGTTTTTTTTAAAAAAACTCCATGTGCTGTAGTTTAAAACAAATTCCATTCAAGAAAAAAGTTAATAATCTACTTTTGAAACCCATAAATCAATTCCGGGAACAGGTTTAGCTAAGCCGACGTGTCTCTTAGTAAATTTAAACCCTTCAACTAACTTAAACTCAAAATTTCTAATAATTACGGATAAAATAGATTTAAGTTCTAAATGAGCCATTTTCATTCCTAAACAATTTTGTGGACCAGCACCAAAAGGTAAGAAGTTACTACTTGTTACTTTCGCTTTTATTTCAGGATCAAGCCATCGGGATGGGTTAAAATGTTCAGCATCATCACCCCAAATTGAAGGATCATGATGAATTGCGTAGATACCAATCAACATTGGAGTTCTCTAAATGAAAAATTTTAAAGTTAATAACTATATTATTATCTGAACTATTAAAAGTTATTTGGAAAAATACCTTTGGAATAACGTAACCATTCAAAACTTCATCTTTTGCATTAGTACGGAGAAGTCCAGCCACTTTAAATAATAAATAAAATAGAGTAAAGATAAATCAATTGAATAATTGAACAAGTAAAAGATAAGAAATAGATATTAAACAATACAAGGTGGAGTGACCCTTAAAGTTTCTTTAAAGACACATTCTAAGTATTTCAATTGATCAATTTCTTCATAAGTTGGAAAATGATTACGATCAGCAGATGCATCAACAATTTCTTTACGAAGACGATCCTGAACATCAGGATTTTTTGCGATGTAATATAGCGCCCAAGATAATGCAATGCTACTGGTCTCATGTCCAGCTATGAGTAATATTATAACCTTAAAAATTTAATGAATTTAAAATTTAAAATTTAAATACAGTAAAAATGAAATTATATAAAATTATATATAAAGTATTTTAATAATTTAAATAAATTTTACCTGACTAAGTAATTCATCATATGTTAATTGCTCATCAACAGGCACATTTTCATTTGCTTTTACCAATAAAGACAATAAATCTTTTCCTCGAATAGTAGCATTTTTTTGGTCAGTAATTAAACTCTCGGAAACTTTTCTAATAGTTTTAACAGATTTACGAAATTCTTCGTAATAAGGAAGTGGAAGTTTCCTGATAAACGGAATGAGAAATTCAATAGCCATAGATACTTGTGAAGGATTACGACCAACTATTGCTCTATAAGCCTGTTCTAACTCAGAATCTGAACTAGTAGAATTGAAATCGTAATTAAATCCTACAATATGTGATTATTATACGATTAGAATTGGAAACAACATTAATAAAATCTAACATGTAGAATGAAACAGACTAAATGCGTACCAGCAAGACCAATAACATCTAAAGTTATCTTTGGAATAATTTCAGTAATAGTAATTCTCTCCTCTTTCTTATCACCAATTTCTTTCATCCAGATATCTTTTAATTTATGGCCAGCTTGAACGAATATTGGGACCATTTCCTTAAAATTAACAAAATCAGAATAATTAAATATAAATATTATTTAATTTTTTAAATGATTTTATGTAATATTGTATGATCGTAAAAGAATACCTTAATATTGGCAAAAGCGAACGAAGAATTCATCAATTTTCTTTGTCGTTTATGAGATTCTCCTTCAGCAAGTATAATACCACCATCACCACCACCAAAAAATTCTTTAGCTATTCTTTTGCTAGCGAAATACTTTGGATAATCATAAGAACGATTTACCAGAACTTTTTGAACAAGTTCTGGATCGGAAATTAACAGAAAGTGTTGGTTAAATAAACCATGATACCGAACTATTCTACCGTATTGTTTGGCTAAGCGAATCGAAGCTTCACCCATATCTTTACTAAAAAAACTGGCATAATGTCCAAGAATTAAACTATCAAGAGGTGGACCTGGAACTTTACGTAATGGCGACAAATATAAAGGATAAATATAACACTTGTACAAAGCGTAGCTAATCAACGCAACAAATGCGGCGACGATGTAGTAAAACATTTTAGAGGTTTAAAAAGTTAAAGAAGTAAATTTAGCTGATATTATACTAGTTTTTAATCTGTAAGTGAATTTCTCCGTTCCCCTATTTATACTAATTTCTTATTGCTAACGATAATACTGTATTGAATATTTTAAAATTTGGAGAAGGTTCAGGACAAATATTTTACCGATATCTGATAAAGATATAATTTATGCATGTATGTATAAATATTTCCGATAGGTTAGCGCTGTATGTATATATATTTCCGATAGCGTCCAAAATAAGCTATTTTTAGGCAGAATCTTAATTTTACAGTAGTGACATTAATATATGGAGATAGTGATATAAATTAGACCGACTCTGTGAGCTAGTTACTGTATACAAGTTATCAATTATAAGTTTAATTTAAACTTTTGTAATTATATCGTAATACAAAAAAGCAAATGAAAATTTTCGTATCGTGCGCAGTATTAATTGGCAAATTTATGTAACATGCCGATCAAAACAATTACAAATTTAAATTCATTAGGTAAGGGAAGAGCCGATGATTTCCTGCAGCGACAAAATATCAATCCGTCAGCGATAAAAGATGCTTCTGCAAATGACTTTGAGATCTTAAATTCAGGCCAAGATTTAAAAATGATCTGAATCAATTCCGTGATTTTCTGCAAAATTTCATGAACGCAGAAAATTCATAAGCCTTGGTAAGGGTGGGCTTAAGATTGGGGTGAGGTGTAGTTTATGCCAAAATTTCGTGGGAAATTTTTTTTATTTGCTATAACTCAAAAGACTGTTTCAATAATGATGATTGTGCTTTTAAGATAAAGGTACCTTTTTAGAGAAGGCAATAATTTACATTGCATTTAGTCATGCAATCTGATTAGCTTTCTGCTATATCCGGGTACATGCACGTAGTGCACAAATAGGAAAATTCTTAAAAAAATTAGAAATTTACATTGCATTTGGTCATGCAATCTGATTTGCACAAATAGGAAATTTTTTAAAAAAATTAGACAAAGAGTGATAACGATCGATAAGTATCCGCAGATAATAATTGTTCCGGTTGATCAATTACCTGTTTTATTTGAACGATAAGTGGATCCTCATCACATTTATTTAATAACAAACAACCAGTATAAGTATAATTTTTGCGAAATATTACTGCAATATCAGGTTTAAAATATTAATGGTCCAGATTTGTTATTAGTATAATGAAAAAAGACCGTGAACGCATGATAAAAATAAATTAATTAATTTTAAGCTGTTTCATAATGATACATTACAATAGTTTCGCAAATAAAAAATCTTGCATAAAGAGCAAAAATACCGATTGGAAATATCTTAAATTCGATGGGGGAAATGAATATTTGAGTGTAACCGAAAGTCGGGAGATAAAATAAATACAATTTGTGTAATTTTACACAAATTATATGAATTATACAATTGCACATGTGGGCGGATGGTATGATGATGTTATCAATTATTGATGATTTGATATTTTTATTTTACAACTTTTTTCATTATTCCTGGGACACCTATTAAAAATTAGCCGAATGATTTTTCGGCCGATCCGGTTAAGTTATTTTTTCGGTATATTCGGTACAGTATATCCAATTTTTATTTACTGTAATATTGATATAATATTTATGTCATAAATTAAATTACATCGTTGGTCCAATTTCAGAAATTTCCATAATAAATATAATACTTGTTTTACAAATTATTTTATTATTATAATGTTAATATTATTAAAATTTCGTTTGAATGCTTATACTTGGTGTGTTTAATTTGTGCGAAAGTTTATGGGAAAGACTGTTCTTGTCAACCAATAAAACTTGATAAGAAATATAAAAAAGGCTCCAGATATCAAATTAGCTTTTATAATAAATATATTACACGAATAGATGCTAATATTAAAAAAGTTAGATACGATCAAGAATTCGTCGATTGGACTAAAAATTCAACTAAAAATTCAACTAAAAATTCAACTAAAAATTCAACTAAAAATTCAACTAAAGTCGAGATTCCAAAAAATCAAGACTTAATTAATATTTGTTAAAAATTATGATCAATAAAATCAAAGCTCACAGTAGATTTAACAATTAAAAATTCTCTAGAATCTTTATCATCCATGACAAATACTTTTGAGTTATCTGACTTGTCTGAAGTGACCGCAACTGATTTAGAAATTAATTGGATATTATTAACATGAAAGAACCTGAATCAGAATCTATTAATACAAAAGAGCCTTTCATAAAATTATTAAAAGTTTATAAAATAAAAATATGTATAAATATATGAAATATTACCTTTTTGTGCATATGGGTGTATAGTTCTCCAAATCGTTGTAAGACTAATGTTACGCCCCAACCAAAGTTCCATCTCGGATTGTAATTCAAACAAGTACCAGCCAGGTTTTTCTTTCATTAAAACTTTTAAAATAATCGAAAAGCATAGGTACGAATGATCATGTTATTGGAATAATGTCGACATGCCAAAGGTTCCGGAAATAAATTCAATTAAAGGACTTTAAGTCCGCAGAATACATTGTAAGTAATTTGAGCTAAGTGATTTGA